TTTCAAAGCTCCCAACAACTCCGGCATCTGTTACATTTTGACATAAAAAATGTTGCTTTAAAGCTGGAACATAATGCATTGCTCTGAGGGTGAAGTCGTAGTAAGATGACATGTTTTTGGGTTGGAAAATAAATTAGTAGCAGAAGTGTGAATATGAGCAGAAGTGAGCTGCCTCACACTCACACTAATGATGATGTGGGAGCTCCTGTGCTTTCATCCACTCTGCAGCCTGGCTAGATTTCATGTGAAAGTGAAATAAAACCAGATGCTATATTTTAAAGCAGCTTGGTATTACTTCCACACTTAAGAGTAAAAAAATGCTGGATAAAAACAAGGTAGGGTTACATATCAGTCCACAGTCTTTACATGATGGGCTCTTTAAAGGAGCAAGGTATGTGTTTGCTTCAAAAACCAATAGCCATGTACAGTATAGACAGCCATTTCTCTGGTTATAGTCTATGCTCTATAAATAAATTAAAGAGAAATGTGCACCCTAAGCCCACAAGGAAATTATTTAATTGTAGAAATGATTACAGCAGCTGTTTTTTTTTTTCTATCTCCCCTGAAACCTTCTAGTAGCCTCGAGGGAACACTTGGGATCATCTTGAAAACCTCTGCCCTAGATTCATATTTCTCTTCTTTATCATTTGATTATCAATCGGATCGGTGAACTGTTTCATCTCTTGTTCACACAGAAGGATAGGTTACAGATGTCCCGCACCTTGGGAAAAGGAATCTAAACAATATCTCAATGTTCCACTTTGATATAGGAGAACTACCATTTCCTTTACAGTCAATGGTTACAGCTCGGTTACTGATTTTACCCTAAACTTTTTTGTAATGTTTTAATTGGAAATATATGTTGTTTAAGGTTATTTTTTAGGCTATAGTTCGCAGTTGTTAGTGGATTTACTGCATTACATTACACAGGTGTTCCTTATTTTGTCCATTTTGCAAAGCCGTGTTGAACTGCTCTTTTCTTCCGAGGGAATTTAAAAACATTTCTCAGATTATCATGAAGGAAAGTCCAATGACTATCGGGTTAAATATATTTCAAAATACACTCTGTATGTATGAAGGCAATGTGTAATGATGCTGTAAATAAAAGACTGACTATTTCAGGGTTCACAGAGAGAGACTATGGCACACAATATATTTTAGACACATGCTTGAACCGTGAAAACTATAAAAGGGACACATTTTGTTTACCAGAATATACTGTATGTCTCAGTGAACACCCTCCTGCAGCTGTGTTGAGGTGCTTTTCCAGGCATTACAAACAACATGTTATAAACTTAGGCTCAGTTAAGCGTTAACGTGTTTCTCCCACAGATGAGACATGAAGCTGTAACGTGTCTACAATGTGGAAAACTCCATCTGATGTCACTTTGACTGCTCCATGAAGTAGCCCATGTTTACATTCATACAGTATGGGTCTTAATGTACAGAAATGGGGCGAAGCCTGCGAGCTAGTTCAGGCAGTCAACTCGAGCACTTATGCTGGGTTAGGGTTAGGAAAGGTCAAGAAAGGTCTCATGAACTTCCCCACTCAATCTATCAAGACCCGAGCAGTTCTACTAGAAGTCCAAGGTAAAAGGCACGGGCCGGCGCATACCGCCAATGGCATTCCCCTACCATATGAACTCTGACCATGGAGTGTAAAAGTGAAGAGGCACAACGTGACTGACTAAGGTGACATCGTGACGTCGAGGCTTGCGCACGTGGTCCATGGAAGTACCCTTTGGCGATTACGAAACTCGTGGGAGATACTTGTGCAGTTCGATGGGGTGTACGTCGGGGTTTTCTTTAGAACGACACGTGCCGTGACTCGGACGTTGGGGAAGACTTCTTTGCATTGTCACGTTTTGACGTGATTCCGATTGTCTGTTTAACTTGTTTTTTTTTACTTAGTTTTGCTAGATCTATTATATAGTTTTTTATTAAGTTTTACAATCCATTATTAATCCTAACGTTTACTTTGCTTGGGGGCAGGAAGCGAATTTGCACCGGAGCGACGTGGCGACAAGAAATGCGAACCAGAATACCAGTGGCGCTCAGCGGTGCCCCGCGCTTTGCGTGAACCTCACCGTATAAACGGACAGGAGAGGTCGCAAAATGAAAAGTGGAAAATAAGAAAGGTTGACAATGTCTCTCAC